AAGACGGAAAGGGGACAAGGCCATAAACAATCCTTTTTACAAAAACCTAAGGGTTACTTTACTTCGAGTTCGAGCAAACACTCACTCGACCATAAGGCCTAAGGGCTGTTTTTTACTTTGAATTCGAGCAAAAACTCACTCGACCATAAGGCCTAAGGGCTATTTTTTACTTTGAGTTCGAGCAAACACTCACTTGACCGTAAGGCCTAAGGACTATTTTTTTACTTTGGGTTCAAGAAAACACTCACTCGACCATAAGGCCTGAGGGCTGCTTTTTACTCGAGTTCGAGCAAACACTCTCTCGACCATAAAGCCTAAAGTTTGTTTTTTACTTCGAGTTCGAGCAAACACTCACTCAATCATAAAACCTAAGGGTTGTTTTCTGCTTTGAGTTCGAGAGACCGTCCTCGCTCAACTAAAAAACCAAGGATTACTTTACTTCGAGTTCGAGCAAGTACTCACTCGATCAAAAGGTCTAAGGGTTACACTAGTTCGGTTTTGGTCAAATTATCTGAACCCCGACAATAGAATACAACTTCACAATCTTATAAGGCAGAAATGAAGAAAGTTTTTTTTATACATGTCAAAAATCATTTACAAGGGCAGCATGGCCCGATAAAATTTCTCTACAAAAGACCAAAACTGTCTTATAAGAAACACAAAAAATACTAAAGGACTTAGTCCTCTCCGGGAGCAGCATCTTCACCCTCGAGGCCCCCTTCACTTTCAGATCCGCTCGTACTCCCGGTATCATCATCATCGGGAAAGGCCAACACTCTGGTTTCGGCTTCAAGCTCCTTAGTTTTCTCGATCTCGGCTGTAAGATCAAAGCCGCGAGCATGGATCTCTTCGAGAGTCTCCCTTCAAGACTGGCATTTAGCATGCTCGGCAACCCAGTTTGCTTGAGCCTGAGCAGCCTCAGCAACCTCCTTTGCTCGAACCTAAGCAACTTCGGCATCAGATCGATAAACGGACACCATTGCATCAGTATTGGCCATGGTTTTCTCGACCTCCGATTTGGCTGCTGCAAGTTCTATGGCCGGTCTCTCTCGATTAGAATTTGTTGAGCTCAACCGAGACTGGAACTTCGATTTTCTTGGCTTGCACCAAGGCTTTCTCTTTCAAGCTTCGGAGTTGGGCCTCAGCCGAAGCCAGTTGAGTTGGGGCAGTCTCCTTTTCTGAGGCGAGGCAGCCCATGTTCTTCTTCCGTTCCTCGACCTCCGATTTCACTACGTCCACTTCAACACGAAGCTGCCTGATCACATCGAACTTTTGCTCGACCTGCGGGACCGAACTGTTAGCCATCACTCTTGAGTCAATATCATTAAATTCAAAGATTCTTTTTACCTGCGAAGGCCAGCTCAGCTTGTTCTTTTCGAGATGCTTCTAGCTCAGCCCGGAGTCCTTTTACTTCTCTTTCTCTCTACTCACTGAGAAGCTTGAAGGCATCTCTCTCCTCAGTAAGCCTTCGAACTTCAGCTTCGTACTGGCTCAGCTCCCTTCGGGATTGGAAAAATGCCTCGTGATGAAACACAAAAGCCTACAAAAATAAAAAGAAGGGATTATACAAGGAAAGAAAACACAAGTATGAAAATTGGCAAAGAAAGTATGAACTTACCCGATTCAGGGCCTGTTGGGCTTTGTTGAAAAGGCAAGGCACTCCTACCTCGCTCGAGCTCTTCTTCGGAGCCTCCAAGTCACTCGGACCGGTGACATCTTCTACCCCGATAAAATAACCACGGAAAGGGTCCTCCTCTCTATGGGCTCCTTCTCCGTGACAAGTCTCCACAGCTTGAGCATCATGTATCATCGACTGGGAAAATGAAGGGAAAGAGGGGGAATTCCCAATCTCTATTGTCCCGAGTAGGTATTTTTGGGCGTCGCCTCCGTCTTGGGGAGCCTCAAGCTCGGTTTGCACACCGGCATCCACAGTTTCTTCGACGGTCTCTTTGCCTCGAGGTAAAATATCCTCGGTCCCCCTCGGCTTGGGAACTTGGGTCAAAGTCTCCTCCTCGACCTCATCAAGCCTGGACGGAGCAGTATCAACTCCCACCGATACCGAAGTATTTTGAATATCGAGGCCAGACCGTGCAGGGCCACCAGCCCGAAATCACTTTCTTCTTCTTCTTCATCCCTTAGACTCAGGACCGATTCCATATTCAAAGGGATTATGTTCACCTTGGGTTTACGAGCTGCTCTCTTCTTGGGTTTTTGACCCTCGGAGTCCGAGGCCTTTTTTCTCTTAATCACCTTCTCCGGTTTTGAGATAGGCGGTAAAGCTTCTTCATCACCTAATGGGGGTCTCATAACCGCATCTTTTTCGAGACCTACAAAGAAAGAAAAGTAAGTAAAACTTATGCCTGAAAAAAATGCTTGAACAGTAAGAAAATCGATGAGCCAAGAAGAAGGTTTACCATGAGTACGAGCCTCCCACCTGCCCTTTGACAAATCTCGCCATGTGCGCTCGGCGTATGTTGACGTCGAAACCAGGCTCCTGACCTAGTTCTCGAGATAGGGAACCGCACCCGGCATCCAAGAAACGGTTGCGTCAAGAAAAATATTGATAATGAAGGATGAAGAAGTAAAACAACAAAACTTAAAAACGGGATCACACTTACGGTTCATATTCCATTTCTCGGAAAATGGCATACTCTCAGCCGGGATTAGGTCTGAGATCTTCACTCGAACGAACCGGCCCATCCAACATCGATCTTTGTCTTCATCTATGCTCGAGGCGAACGCCTTGGTGGCCCGGCATTGAAGCTTTATCAGCCCACCTCGGTAAAGTCAAGGGTTATATAATCTTACGAGGTGGTCGCAGGTGAAGGGAAGCTCATCGATTTTCTCATAAAAAAACGAAGCAGTATCACAATCCTCCAGTAAGAAGGGTGAATTTGACGGAGGGTCACCTGGTATTTCTTGCAAAAATCGACGGTGACTGAATCGAGGGGACCCAGCGTGAAAGGATAAGTGTAAACACTCAGGTACCCTTCCACGTGGGTAGTGATCGCCTCCTCCGGTGCCGGTATCACAACCTCTTTATTTTCCCAATGACAGTCTTTTTTCACCAGGTCAAGAAGGCTTTTTGGTATCGAGCATATATATCTCGATACTGGCTCGCATCGACCAGTAACCGACGAGGGTTTCTCGACCTTAAAATTAGAATCAATAACGCACCCCCCGGGAAAAAGCTCTTCAAGGCGTGGCTCCACCACTATTTCTCGCCGGCCGGCCGAGATGAGGAAGCAACCTCTTTCTGCGGAATAATTTTAGATATTTTTGCCATCTAAATTTTTATGAACAAAAAAGAAGGAAGAGTGAAGTATTTGGTGTTTTGAGAAGAACAAGCGAAAAAATTGCAAAACTTGAAAATAGAGAGCTTTGGGGAAGGCGAAGAACTTTGAAGATTGGAATGGAAAGAGATTTGAAGGTAAAAGTTTGAAATAATGAATAAGAGGGCTATTTATAAATTTCACAGTGACGATTCAAAATTGACATTGGCCGACCATCGACTGACGCACATTTAATGCCTTAGTAACTGGACCGACGTGACATTTGTCACATACGTCACAATCGGGCTCGTCGTAGACGTCAGTATGTATCTAGTCAGAGGTTGAAATATCATATCGTTTCTCGCCACCTTCTTTCCGAGAAACGAGGGGACTATCTGTATACAGTCAAAACCGAGTTTGCCTTTCGTACGACTAATCCAGATTGGAGCATGACGGACCGAGGTTCGTCATTATAATATCGAGCTGTGATGTGAAGTTGGAAGGTCGAGCTCGAGACCCAAAGACCGATCAAATATCGAGATCGAGTCAAGGTCGAGCTTGAGATCCAGAGACCGATCAAATACCGAGATCAAGTCAAGATCGAGCTCGAGACCCAGAGACCGACCAAGATCGAGACCGAGCCAAGGAACAACAAAGCCGTTATAGCCGCATTTGGGGAGAAAATCTCGGCTGAAATCACGGCTTGAATCAAGAAAAAGTCAATTAATTAATCTATCATGGGATCCCCACTATATATTTTTAATTATATCCAAAGTAGGATTCCTCCACTATATTAGGAGTGACTAACATTTGTAAAAGAGGAGATTGATATACATTCACACATTCTCACATTCAGAGATTATAGAGATTTACATAACACATAGCAAATATTATCCTTTTTTGGGCTTTTGATATTGATTCATCTTGTTCATTTATCAATCATTCTCTACTCAATTAGGGTTTGTATTCATTCCTTTTTACAGTCAATATTCAATATATCCCTACTTATTTTTTTAATTTGTGTCGAGTTATACCGCGTATCCTTAAAACTACGTATAAATTTAACTCTATCCGTTTTTCGGATAAACACATTGTTAATGCATTAAAATTAGAACTCCTAAATATTAGTGGTTATATGTTATGTGACAAACTAGTCTTTCTTTTAGCGACTTGTTTGAGGTAGAGACAGTTAAGACAATCACTTTTATCCGTTCTGTAAACTCGAACACATAGTATCTGATTTGTGGAAAAGTAAGAATAATGGAGTATATTATACTTATATATCATATAGAAACAAATAGACATCTATGTTTGAAGTTCATAGGAAATATATTTCATCAAGACTGAACATAATTTTCACACACCATCTTAGGGTCGTTTGATTGGGAAATCAGTTATCCCACCTTCCCATAAGGATAAAAATAATACTACAATCTCAATAGTTATATTATAATTTTATCCTAATCAAACGTAAGATAAATTTATATCAAATTTAATTTTAAAATTAATTATGACTTATTTCTGGAGACCATACACCTCAAAAGACAAACACAGGAAATATGAAAGAGAAACTAAATGCAAATGTCATTCTTGCTATATAAAGCCAAACAACCTAAATGACAAAACGTAAAAAACGTTGAAAAAGGAAAAGAAATAGAAACCAATAGAAAGCCTCTGCAACTATTTCAAATATTAAATACACAAACATCATAGTAGTATTTCCATGTCGTATACATTGTTACATTTTCATTTTCCACTCTTTGCTTACTCTAGTCATTTTTCTTTAAATATAATTTCCGCTCTTCGCTGGCTTCTTGTCATTCGGGTATACCGATGCTCTTTGCTTGCCCATTTCCCCTCTTTTCTCTGGAATTTCCACTGATTTTTTCTGTCTGATTTGCTGATTGTGTCTTTCCGTAAAACCATGTATATATACGAAATTACAAAAGGGAAGTTTTGGGTCTGAAGAGGAAATGGTACTAATAACTTTTACATGGCGATATGGTGGTAGTCAAGTTTTCCTCTATGGTTCCTTCAATGGGTACTTTTAATTTCTCATTAACAACTACTCTTTTTTTTTTTAAACCCCTTATTTTATGATTCAACAAAGTGCATGTTACATGCTTTTTATATGGCCTAAGTGCCTGTGATTTCGGGTGGTGCAGCTGGACTGATCAGCTACTGATGAATTTGGTGGAGGGTTCGGCCGCCGTTTTTCAGAGGATCATTGATCTTCCACCAGGTTATCATCAGGTATTCCCTAGATTCTATGTGATGATTGTGTAACGAGCTAATGAATTTGTACCAAGTAGACCTAAAATCAAAAGAAAAGGCTGCTCGATGTCAATTTTGTCTTAGGTGCTGTATGCGAAAAATAGTTTCATCTTTTTCATACAGAATATCTGCAAGGGTCTTACCAAGTTCACAGAGCTAGAAGTTTTGATAAAGTAAAGAAATAGATAACCTGGGTTGGTCATATGAATTGGAGGGATTATAACTCAAAGTTAGTTAACTAAATTGAGATTGAGGGAATACTCCGGGAGATATGCTATTGCTCACTGTGATCCATCTTACCGTCTAAGTCCCTGTACACTTTTTGTGTTTCTGCACTTTAACTGCCTCTAAGAAGATGCATCGATATGCTTATTAGCGTCTAAGTATCTGCAAATACTTAGGCATGTAAATATATTTCCCAGATTTAGTATTACTGTACAGGCACATGTTTTTCTCTTGATAATGATTTTTCGTGTCTAGTTCCCTAGGATTACGGTATTTTTCGCTTTTGATGCTTTGGCTGTTGTGTAAACTGATCCTATTTTATGTCTAATATGGCTATTCTGGTAAATAATTTGATTTTCAGGAACATCCTTGCTTTCTTAACAAGTTAACCATTAGCAAATGTTACCTCTTCACAAGATATGGAGTATCGTAAAGTTTTACATATTATAGCTGTTACTGATATGTTACACATGCACAGTAACACCTGCTTAAAATAAAGGAAAGTGCACATTTTGTATGGAGTTGAATTTACTGGCTCCAAATGAACTATGCAGTACAAATTCTTGATTGATGGAACCTGGCAAGTCGACCAGGAACAGCTTTGTGTTCAGGATGAATATGGTGCAATCAATAACTTAATATTTGTTAAGGAATCAGATTCCACACCTTCTGCCTTACTAAGAGAGGATACTCAGTCGAAGTTGGTCTCGGGTTTTGCTAGAAGCATGCATCTTGAGGTCAGTGCTGACCAGAAAAGAATTTCTTACTTGATATGGTTAAAGACCATACCTCAGTTTCCTTTTCCGTCCCTCATTCTGACAACGACTCATAATGATTTCATCCAACCACTTTCCTTAACATTTTAATTCCGTATAATTTCTTTGTCATACCAACCAGGCTTCATCTTCACGTGGACTACAGCTTGAACCAGTCATGCAGTTGTCAGCCAATGAAATAGATGTTTCCCGCCGTCGTCTATTCATGTTGTTGTCATCTTCCCGAGCAGATGGGCTGATTCCAAATTCAGGAAAGGTTTGGAAGTCTTTATCTATGCTTTCCCCTTGTATTGTGCCATTACTTAATAATATCTCTATTTAAATTTACTGACTACCTATCTGGTGATTCTTCATAGGTCTTTGCATTAGATTCTGAAGTGGCTGTTAAACAGGCTTTTCATATCATGTATGAACAGGTTCGGTTTTCTATGCACACTATTGACCATCTTCTTGGTTCCTCTTGGGTGTCACAGACACCTTTGTCCTCAAGCTCAAGGTTGTAGCTAATAAGTGCTCAAGCAAATTCTGGAAGTTGTAATTTGTCTTGGAGATTTGCATATGAGTTAACTCGAGTAAATATCCAAATTATACATTTCAATTATGGACTTGATTAATAAATCTACAACCAAAATGTCTGCACTTTATTAAGACTAGTTTATTCTTGATTTCGGAATGGTTTGCCATCTGAGATGAATCTATCATTTTGCTTTGTTATTTGTTATTGAATTGCATGGATCGGCAAATAATAGTCGGATATAGTTACTCACCTCGTAGCCCAATTTCCTTTGTGGATTGTATACCAGCGGGAGTTGCTGCCTGAAGGACCAAACCTGACTGTTGGGACATATAAAATTGACCTAGAATTACATGGAGGGATATTGTCTCAAAGTCATTCAATTTTCCAGAATCTATGTGGACTTGGTGAAGAACATAACATTATGGAAATAAGAAGATCCATATACTCTATATAGACTAGTTGGGGTTAAGACTTTGTCGTGTTTCCACATTTACACTATTGTTTGGTGTTTTCCACGAGTCCTTTTAGTTTTTAGAGATTTGTATGTAATAGAAAATACAGAGAACCTCTTCAGCTAGTGAACACTAGTTTTCCTTAAATGATAAATTATTGAGTATTGGGAATGGGTCCAAACAGAACATAATGGATATTGAGAATTAATATAGACGACCCGACTAGTTTGCGAAAGAAGCATAGTTGTTTCTATTACATGAAACCACTTTGTTTTACCCTTTGGATTCTTGCTTATATGGCCTATTCCAAAAAGTGACTTGTGGAGACCTTCTTCGTGTACAGGGTAGGAAGATCTATAGTATGGCACCTTATCCATTTATGTTTCAGATGTTCCTATATTTTAGGTTGTGGAATATAGCTGTGTAATATTAATTTGTCAACTTTCTCTGTGATGGGGAAGAGAGTGTCTTTCCTTTAATCTGCAGTGCTTTAGAAAATCTATTTCTTGGGTTGGTTTCATTGAAGAAAACATAGGATAGGAAAAACATTATTCAGTGCAGGTGAATCCTGCCAAAAGTATGGCTCTTCCCTGGATATAGGTTGGGCATCAATGCAACTGTGATGGTTGAAAAATTCTAGTTTCCGGTAATAGTTCATGCAATCTTACTATGTCTTTAATGTTTTGTTGTACACTATTTTTCTCCATTCAATTTACATGTTGATTTTTGTTTTATGCTTGGAATATATTTTGAAGTTCACTAGTTGAGCATATGTTTAGGGACTTGCTGTGATGCCTCTTTGGGATGAGCGGAATGCAAAGATATCGGGAATGCTTACTGCTTCTGATTTCATTTTGATATTGTTGAAGGTACTATTTAGTAGTTGTTAAGCACAACTGGCAACTGGTTTTAAATTTTTTATTTTTCCAAATATTTTTGAGGCCCTAGGGCTTTGATATAATAGTTAGAGTGGAGCACAAGATGTGTGAGTTAGGCACATGTCACCAGTTTGAATGTTGCGGTAGACAAAAGCCTGGTCTTTAAGTGGAGAAGGGTAGAGGGACGGGTCCATTGTCCACTGAGTTTTGAACCTTTTTTAGCTTTGAATTTAAGTGCTGAAAATGAGCTGGAGAATAATATTTTCTTGAGGAAGATTTTCTGGCTTGGTTTCTCATTATCTTAATAATCAAAATCCATGTTTTTAGTAATAACTCAGAAACTCCATTTCTATATGGCTAATAAGTTGCTTGTCCATGGAGGAATACCCCCGTCCACCTTATGTCAAAGCATTTGGTCTTTCTAATGCAGCAAATAGTGAAGAGTGAATCCTATGTCGTTTGAGCGATTTTTCATTTATATTTGAAATAAGTGACTTTTCTATGTTCAATTGAGGATCATAAACCTGCAGATGAATGTTCCTTGCATTGTATTTTATGGGGAGAATTGATATAGTAAGGTTTAATCACAAGAAGATAGTGCCTTTCTTCTGAATTCCATCTACTATGTATATTTTTATGCGGTTGAATTCTCCTATTGGATGCCTTCGAGGCTGTCTTTTGATCATTAATGATAAATTTTATTACTACTATTAGATTTGTATATAACTAGTGCATTGTCGTCATGTTTCATCTATGCTTCATTCCTATATATCATGCCCAAGGTAAACTACTTTTTGCAGCTCCATGGAAGTCATTCAATGCTGAGCAACGATGAGCTTGAAAGGCACACTGTTTCAGCTTGGAAATACGAAAAATTCCAACTGCATGCAGAAGTGTCAGGGCCTATGATACCTCCAAACAGAAGGGTGTTACTGCAAGTANAGAATCTTATTCTTTCTATTCATTCCTCCTATTTTCTCTTCAATCACAGGCTGGACCTGATGACTCACTGAAAGATGTGGCCCTATTATTATTACACAATAAGATCTCTGCAGTTCCACTTTTACATTCACCAGAAGACGAGTCATGTGTGCAGTTGTTGCATACTGCATGCCTTGCAGGAATATCAAAGCGTGCGTTTTCTCTATAATTTGCTTTCCAATTCTGCAGTTTTTTTTCCTCATAATGTTTTTTGCAAAGGCTTATGTTTGGTTTTATTTCTCTTCCTTGGAAAATCTTAGACATATGCAGGCATTTTAGGCACTCTCTTGAGTATCTGCCTCTTCTGCAGCAACCAGTGGGTAATCTTCCATTAGGTACATGGGCAAGAGAAGTTGGTGGAAGGGCAAGCAGCCGTGATTTGTTAACATTATACAGCAGAGATCCCCTTAGTTCTGCTCTTAAATTACTAATAGAAGGTTCACAATATTATATGAGTAGAACAAAATTGTTTAACTAAGACGTGTACTAAGCACGTCTTTCTCTTGCTCTGACAGGTCAGATAAGTTCAATACCTATCCTTGATGATAATGGAGCCCTTATAAATGTGTACTCTCGGAGGTAATTCATGCGCTTCTGATGGTAAATGCTTGAAATTTTTCATTTTCAGCATCATTGAAGTTGCTTTGTTATTTTAAGCCTTACAAACTTGAGATTTTGCTGTCTTTACATAGTGATGTTACCTCTTTGGCGAGAAGCAATGTGTATGCTCGCTTTCGGCTTGACCAGATGATAATGGCTCAAGTAAGTGCATTTCAAACCACCGTCCCTCGTCTCCTCAAGATTATCATGCTTGCTAATATAAGCAAGGTGCTAGTATGCAAAAGAACTCTATGGGCTACAAAAGTTGGTGAATTTGTCTTTTAAAACATTTTTCTCGACTAGTTAGTTTTTGGCATACAAAATTACTCTGTGAAGGCTTAAATGGAGCGTCATACTTGTATGGTCATATGAAGCTGCTTAAACTTATTAGTTACCATTTAGTTTTTGCTCTCTTCTTGGAACGCTTTCATCTTGATTAACTCGAGATATTATGGGTAAAAGTACTGAGAAATCTTTTTGGTAAACAGTCTGGCATTGTTGATGAACCTTTTAGGGCATGAGGGCATTCTATCACTGTGTGCATAAATCCCCGTAGCGTGTAATTTGTTGAAGTTGTAATCCTGTTGTTACCTAAGGTTTTTTCTACTTTTTCTGCATATAATGCACTAATTTTTGAGCACAGGTCCTGGAGGTCTTAGATGAAGCATCTTGTGATCGTTGTAGGACATGCACACGTTTTGATTCATTGTATAAGATAATGGAGCTCCTTTCAGATCCAAGTTTGTACCTCTTTTTTTTCTTTTTCTTCTCTTTGTGACCTCATTATCTTGTAATTTGAGTGCCCTCTCTTTTTGTTTCAGTCACAAGGCGCATTGTGGTCATTGATCCCAATACCCGGCATGTAAAAGGCATAATCACATTGAGAGACGTGTTTAATCTTCTTTTAAGCTGAAATATCTCTTGAACGATGTCGCGGGTAATTAGATTTTACTTCCTGAAATGGCCACAATCAGTTTGCATATTATATTTTGCAATTTTGCTGATTATGAGCTTTTGTGTGAAGTATTGACTAACTAAAAGAACATAAAAGTTACTTTGAAGAGAAGTAGTAAACTGGATCCAATTATCTGTTTTTTCATTATTACTAAAGGTTTTATGCTAATGGCAATTGCAGTTCATTGTTTCTTTGGCAGGTGGGAGTAAACTAGTATGATGGCTTGGTAATGGCTGCTCATTTGCTCGAAGAGAATTTGTGTCACTATGCGTTAGGCTGAGGGGGAAGGATGAATACAAATTATTCATACAATTATGCAATAAAGCATAACCCAGCGGTATTGCCTTCAGTAGCTCTTGGAAGAGAAATGCTATGTAAGAATTGTTTATAACAGACGAAGTTTGTGTAGTCAAGGAAAAAAAAACACAGTTGAGATGTTACTTTAAGAACTATTTTACTAGTCAAATGACAGTAGTATAGTAGTATCAGTGAAAAGAATGTATTGTTAGTTCATCAAAATCTACTGGCTATAGAATGCTTCAAATTGAGTTGCAGACAATTTAAGACAGAATATATCTCGTTGCTTTGAGGATGCAAGTCATCCCATGAAATAAATTCATGTATCATCCCATTCAACTGAATCAAACTACAACCAGCACTCTTCTTGATCTGTGCACAATCTCTTCTTCTCCTTACATTGACCAAGTCATCCCAACGGCCAGCATCTGCAAACACATTTGCCAAGATTGAATAAACCCCACCATCTTCCGGTTTCACCTCCATCACATTTTCAGCAGCTTTAACAGCAAGCTCAACGTGCCCATGTATCCTACACCCACCAAGCAAACCACCCCACACAAACACATCACCAGCCATTGGCATTGCCTCTATCATCTCCATAGCTTCTTTAATCAACCCTGCACGTGCCAGCAAATCCGCCATACACCCATAATGTTTTAGTTCTCGACGAACACCATAAACCTCTTCCATTTCTCCAAAGAACCTTCTAGCTTCCTGAACAAGACCTGCATGATTACATCCTACCAACAGTGCCAAAAACGTTACCCCATCAGGCCTAACACCACCTTCCACCATTCTTGAGAAGTAATCAAACAATAACTGGCCATGACCATGCATGGCTAATCCAACTAGCATAGCATTCCATGTAAACATTTTCTTCTCCCAACTTGTCTCAAATATCTCCCTAGCAATCTCAATGCAGCCGCATTTGGCATATAGATCTACCAATCCAGTACACAAATATGAATCTATGTGAATCCCCTTCTTTTTAATATAATCATGTATGGTCTTTCCCTTTTCTAGTTCCCCCAGTTGTGCACAAGCTGAGAGAACAGAAACCAACGCAACGTTATCAAATTTTACATTTAGCGAAACCATTTGATCGAACAGCTCAATAGCCTCTTTACACTGGTTCAATTTTGCATATCCAGCCAAAAGGGTGCCCCAAGAAACTGCATCTCTTTCAGGCATTTCGTCGAACACTACCCTCGCTTTGTCCATCTCACCCGCTTTAACATACCCATCAATGATTAAATTATAAGTAACAACATCTCTACAACAACTTTCATCAAACACCTTATGGGCGTCACTAGTATTACCACTGACGGTATACACACGAACAAGATTATTACACACGAAAACGTCAGCTAAAAACCCAAATTTCAAGGCTTGAGAATGAAGGGTCTTGCCTAGGGACAGAGAATTCAGTAAAGCACAAGCTTTGAGAACAAAAGGGAAAGTATGGGAATCTGGTGGGACCGAATTTCGGTGCATTTTGAGGAAATATAAAAAAGAGGTATTTGGGGAAAAGAGAAGGGTGTGGGCTCGAATGATAGTATTGTAACAGAAAGTTGATGGGTTTTCAATGCGGCTGAAAATGGAGGTGAAATAACGAGTGGCATAGTGATGTGTGTTGGGTTGTAAAGGAAGAGAAGAGAGAAGGGAAGTGAAAGAATGAAGGATTTGAGTGAGGATAAGAGTAGAGTGAAAAGAAGAGAGGTGGTCATTGGTAATGGCTTGAGCATGGACTTGTTGAATTTGTGAAATGGTCTTGCATTGTTGCTTTAGTGTAAATATCAACAACGATGATTGTTTGTACCTTATTTGAACCATAGGAGTTGTTGTTGTTCATTGTGGAAACCAAAACCATAACTAGCAAAGTGGCAGTTCTTTGTGGAATGGGAATGCTGGCACAAAGAATGGTAATTGGGAAGGAAAAGAATAAAAAAGAAAAAAACGTGGACGGCAGGATTCGAACCTGCGCGGGCAGAGCCCACATGATTTCTTGTCATGCCCGATAACCACTCCGGCACGTCCACCGAGGCTTTCTTTTGTAAGTGTAAAAGTTTCTATTTATAATATTTGTTTTACAATTTTTCCTTTACTATTCCGACATACTTGGCAAAGAAGATTTGGTTAAAAGAGAGAAAACGAGCACATAATAGTTGGATAATAGAGCAAAGATAGAATTTGCTCGAGATCTACGGATACAGTATTATTTTGGCTACCGATAACGAAAGTATCAACTATATCTGACGCAGGTGCTTATTACTTGCTAATGCAGCAACTTGTCATATGATGATTCAGTAGCTTATTACCTTGTCAATATTAGCACACCTCCGACATTTAAGGTCAATATCGATAATGTCTTAATTTTTAACGGAGACTGTACTGCTAGCGATTATGGAAGAAAAATCAAAGATAGAAAGGAGTCATATTATTCGGTTTGTTCTTTTGCTTTAAGTGCATAATAATTGAAACTTGTAGTAATTCATTTGAAAAGGTAACATGTTGTCATGTTCTCATAGTTGTTTCGCGGATTTGTAGATCTTGACCATTACCAATTATTTAGTCGTAGTCAAGTATCATTTTCTTGCCTCTGAAACCAAAGCAACTAGAATAATAACCACAATGTCATTGTCGATGGTAATTTGAAGTATTTGTCCAAAGGCAGTAATCAAAATAGTTACGTGAACTTAATTCAAACAAGAGGAAGCAAATATTTGAAATTTATGGTACGAAATGCCGCTAAACTCAAGGACTATTTGAGTTGTTGAGTTCGAAATTTAATATTTGTACATATTTAATAAATCTTTTAATGTGTACTATAATATCTTAATAAAAAATTACTAGTTCAACTAAATGCTACCAGTGGTCCAAGAATTCCACTTTCAAAAGGAATATAATGGAAAATGACAAATATTGTACACTTTCCACATTTAGATCCTTTTTTGCTGGGATAATGCCTCCTCCCCACTTAATGGATTAGTGGCTTTCAGCTTCCACAAGATTCCTTAGAACCATTTGAAATTTTTTAATGAGTATTAAAAACGAACGATGCAAAGTAATTGTACTCTATTAAGAGAAAGCCAATCTGCATCATATTCCACTTTTAGTAGGTTGGAGGGTCCTCTGTTTCTTCTTTTAGCATCCTTTACTTATTTTTTTTAATGTTTAATGGCCTTCGTTAAATGCTTTTTAAGTTTTAACCCAACACTTTCCACTTACTTATCCATCTGAGTTGCATCTTATGATGAAACGCATTCCACTTGTCAGTTAACTTTACCTCTTCTCTATTCCCCCGGAATCAATTTGTTTATCCTTTTCTTTTTTTGCTTTTCTCCACATGGAGAGTGCATAGATTTCCTCGCCTTTATTAATCTAAATCTATTATCGGATTGAGATGAACTTAAATAGAGCGACATAACACCAAAAAGTTGAATAGTTGACTTCAACTTATTTGGAATTGTGACATAATCGTTGTTGTACAATAACAATAACAACATACCTAGTATTATTCACATTGTGGGGTTTGAAGAGGGTAGCGTGTACGCAGATCTTACCCCTACCTTATAAGAATAGAGATATTGTTTCCAATAAACTCTCGACTCATGAAAGTATAAGCACCAATTTAATAAAAATATAGACAAGAAGGGACCACCAAAAAGCCATATAAAAGCAGAATAAAAACAAACAAGATAATAAGATGACCAACAATGAAAGAAAACAACGGTTAGTCATAAAAAACTACTACCAACAGAATGCGAGAGTGCGTACCAATACTACCGGTATGAACAATCTAGACCGCCTACCATACTACCCTAATCCTCGACCTTTTCACGTTCCTATCAAAGGGTCATGTCCTCAGCCAGCTGAAGTTGCGCCATGTCTTGCCTAATCACCTATCCCCACTTTTTATTCGGCCTACCTCTAACTCTCGGTAGGCCCTCCAATAACCTCTCACACCTCCTTATCGGGGCGTTGTGCTCCTCCTCACATGTCCAAACCACCTAAGACTCGTTTCCCGCATTTTGTCCTCAATAGGGGCCACACCTACCTTATCGCAAATAACCTCATTCCTAATCCTATCTAACCTGATATTCCCGTACATCCATCTCAACATCATCGTCTTTGTTACCTTCATCTTCTAGACATGAGCGATTTTGACTGGCCAATACTCACTCACATACAACATAGTCGGTCTGACCAACACTTTGTAGAACTTACCTTTAAGTTTCGGTGGGACCTTCTTATCGCACGAAATACCGGAAATGAGTCTCCATTTCATCCTTCGTTGTTGTTGTATTAATTTAAATCTTTTGAAAGAAAGAATATAAATATTCTTAGTGGTGTGGTGGATAAGCAGGATGGCCTAATACAAAAAGAATATAGCTACGAGGGGGACCATAAAAATTTACCATTTCTTTATGTTTCTAGCCCTTGGCTATAGTCTACAGATAATATGGTGGACAAATTCTTGGCTTTCAAGATTGTTACTCCTATATAATAGGACATGTAGAGACAAGAGAAAACAGAAACTCAGCTCCTATAATTAGTTGCACTATAAGGCTATGAAGCATAAGAAGATGTGGAGAAAGAAGAAAAAGAAGGATTTTGATGGAGTACTCGAGGATGGAAATGGCGATCTCTACAACTTTTATGTGAACACTAGGTCACACCCTTTGGTGCATCTGATGTGAATCGGATACCAAGGGTTAACAGGCAAGTCATAGCGGCAAAGGGAAGGCAACGCCTTTCTTCCAGATTTTTACCTTTTTCTTCTTGTATTTTCATATTACTTCTCCATCATATCATGGATCAGCCTGGCTTTTGAGTTTGTTGCTTTGCTATTATTAGTCTTTTAGCTTTTGATTAAACTACTGTTCAACCAATGTCCTTGTTGAGTTTGTTGCTTTGCTATTAATGGTGTTGGAGGCAATGCCTTCTTTTTAAGAAATACAGTCTTGTTCTTACCTTTCTAGTCCACTAAGTATAATGGTGTTTATCTTCCCTTTTCTCCCAACTTTTCTAGCATGCATATCAAGGATTTAATCTATATGTAGTGACAATATGAAAGAAATTTTACACTATAAATGCAACTTAACTAGCTATAACAAATAATTACTCTATTTTTCTCTGTACCAGTTAACATCCATAGAAAACATCACGCTTGGATTTGCTTAGTGCAATCACAACGCTATTCAGAGTCTGCTCCTCCGGGTAGGGGTAAGGTTTGCGTACCCATTATCACTTCCCAGACCCCGGATTTGTTGTTGTATTGAGAGTCAACGGAAAGCCCTATCCCCCAGCATTATATATATGAATGACCAAAGAAGTTGACGCCCATATATGGACTATTCTTTTCACAAGAATAAAATCGAAAGCTAAGAAGATTAATCGCTTCAAATTGCAGTAGACTAATACGACAGCCAAATTATTCATAGTACGAATGTTTTCACAAAAAGAAGCTGAGTAAACGGAAAACTTATCTGTTGACTAACACATCCTTTAAGTACTTATATATATGTCACCTTGGTAGTTCAACTAACTATAGCTAAATATCAGGCAAACGATCATCTTAGCATTCTTTTTTAACCCTAAAGGAGCAGCAGCCCTTCTGTAAGCTTCGATCTCATAGGTGATGGTGTACATGTCTCTTGTTGGCAGCTGGAGCATAGAACAAGCGATTGTGCACGACCAAAATCCGTAGCCCTGTAAGATTTGTAAAGAAGTTATTAGTAGCTAGTACCTTATTAAATCAGTAACTAATAGTTAATTATCAAAAGAATACCTATACAAACAAGAATATAGACCAAGTTCTTGTTACTTGCGTATTGAAGAAGCATTGACATTTCACAACCTGCAACAGTTGATTAGAGTTAAAAGAAGAGAAGGCAAAAAACAAAGGACGTGACAACGGATCAAACAATATGTGTAGAATATCAGTGGTTATACATTACCACAGAACAAGTAGGTACTTGGAGTAGAGACTTTAGTTATGTGTTTTTGTCCCAAGCTTAATCAATATCATTCGGAAGAACCTGAGGAGAACAAATGATATATGGTTCAAAGTCAAAGGGCAATGGGTAATAAGAGGATGAGGTTCAATTACTCAAACGGTCACTCACCATTTTGTGCAGGAGTTTTTGTAAGATATCAGGTGTAACGAGTTGCTGACAGTTAACCAAAGATATTAGAAATTTAACAAGTATGACCAATAACACATATTATCAAACACATTGGCAGAGACAGCCTCTGATAAGAGGTGTTTTTCGACACAGCTTCACAGAAACCTTCCCTATATGTGCGTGTAAATAATGTCGTTCCAAATAACAATATGTGTATATGCAATTCATAGGCCAACACCATTTGATAAAAATGCAGAATATAATGAATAGTAGTTTGTTAAAGGAAACCAATAGTCTTAGACCTAAACACTAGTGACACACCTAAGAAAAACTTATCAACACCTAAAATAATAGGGATAAAAGGCATAGGATCATATGGCTTCCAAGAAACAAAACATCAGGTGAAAAAAGATCAAAAGCTATTAGAACAAATTCCTGTCTATTGGTATTTTAGCTCCAGGGAAAGACAAGGTGATGGTTTCAGTGGTTGGAACCTAAGTCCTAAACCTAGGATTAAAATCCTAGATCCGGAATTGTGAATAATACATAATGAGAGATAAGCAGGTTATTGAAATATCAGTAACATCTACGCAAGAAAATACAGTATTTGTATAAATCAAGAGCGCATGAGTAACACTATCTATATCTATCTATCTATATTTATATTATTATAATAGCATGAATACAATGTCGGTTTACAAAAATTACCTTATAACATTAAGCATAATAACTCATAATAAAAAGACATAACCGGAATTCTAAATATTGGCCTTATAATCCTATTAGTTTTAGGACATAATATTATACGTTAGGAATCCTACATTATTCATCTTCCCCGATAAGTATAATTAGTATCACAAAGGCCATTCCAACTAGCAAAGTACGCTAATTAACTTGAATATGAATGAATATACCAGAATGATGGCACCTAAAATCTGTTTAAGCTCCATAAACCGAAAGATATTTGCTTTCCTTCAATCATATATATACGACATAGTTTTAACGAGGCGAAAAAAATTCAAAAAAAAAAACGAAACAAGTTAATTAGCCCGTGGCATGCATGTGAAAAATAACTTTGCTTCTTTCCCACTCCATACCTCATATATAGGTAGATGTGGGTGCGTTTCTATATTAGCGCTATATATTTATATCTATCTATATTATTATAAAAGCACGAGTGTTAAAACGCTAAATATTGAACGATAAAAATATCATTGAAATATTAATCGACTTTTTTTCCCTTTATGAAATTGAATTATTTGTGCAAATAAATAACTCCATGATGGATAAAATTGTAACACCCAAAACTTTACCTAATATTTAGTACTCTAATATCTAGGATTTGAAGTCAAAAAGAAACCGATTGAATGATAAGAAAACTATTCGGTAAAGGAGTACTCTCAATTTGAAAAGGAATGACTTGTGTTAACTAATTTGTATAACTTGTAGCTTGGTATTATCAGACCTCCGTGCATTCATCTTAACAAACTTAATCGGAATTCAAGACACTTGGTGTTTTCAATTGCTACACTGATGTTGTAACAACCGATTGGTTATTTTTTTTCTATGGATGTGTTGAAATGTAGGAGTACTCCTTTAAGCTCTATTGTGTGTACCTATTTTATTTGGTTATTGCTATTTCGACTAAATTTATTTATTTCTTAAAAGTTCCATTAATTAGCAAAGTGGTTCTTTGGGAGAACATTAATAATCCCCAGGAAAAAGGTTTAAGAAAAACATTAAAGATTTAAATATTGATTTTTTAATCTAAAGGAAACATTATTTACTCTCGTGTACTATATATTTTCATGGATGAATAAGTCATGTAAACAAACACTAAAAATTATATGACTGATCTTGGTAATATCTACACCATAACCCATGTTTGTACTATCGGAAAAATCGACAACAAAAGAAGGATATATTTTGGATGCTTAAAATCACTTCGAACCACCTAGATTGTCTTAATGACCGTTGTGTTCGAACCGTCTGACATATATATTGACGAATTAATTTGATAGCATGCTATACAAAGGCGAATCTAAGATTTAAATTTTATAAGTTCAACCTTCAAGTTTTTTAGCATTTAATGCGTTATAATTTTAAAGTTATAAATTCATATCTACTATTACCATCTCATATCTTAATTTCACAGTTGGAAGGGAAAAAAGAAAGAAGAAAGAGCAAAAATAATGTAGTGGTCAATTAATTATATGAGAGTATGAATAATAACAATTCTAGATAAATTGTAAGTCCATGTTTAACATATTCAAAAACCAAAAAAAAATTTCTTCCTTATATCGTAAAAGATACGATACGAAGCAAGTTCTTATGGTTCAATCTCTCAAGTCTTCTTATATGCACGAAAATCTTTCTTGCCCATTTTATATGTTTTTTGCCCATTTTTTCATATAAGTAACTAAAAAACTAATAGTGATAAAGAAAATGAATTAGCTACAAGTAAATCTTTAATATCATGAGTTTCATATTAACACTTTTTTGGTGACAAGTATATTCATATTATTAACTATTAGGTGCGCCTTTTATTATACGTGCGAGGCACGTATATAAAAACTAGTAATGTTGAAATACACACGTAGATGATTCGAGAGAAACGGCGAGTTACCTCAGATCTCAGCAGAAAACGGCACCCTCTCACTCGCTTAATAAAAAAACATTATTTATAGTGATTTTTCTCCCAGACCTCGGCTAACCAAGAAATACTGACAGCAGTATTGAAAATTTTACGGCCCAAAATTAAATAATTTATTTTTGGGGTTTTGTTTAGCGTGTAAATATTAAATATAGAAAAAACTGAAAGTTTAAAACTTTTGAGCTTCTGACGCCATATTAAGGAAATAATCTAACATTATTTGCTAACGAGTAGATTAGAAAGAAAAAAAATACTTCTTGCTTCCCTGTCGGATAGAGAAAGGGCAAAAAAAATTAAAAGAATGACATCGTACCCTTCTCGCAACCTTAGAAAAATATATTATACTATGACAATAAATATTTTTTTCCAACTCTCATATTATACTATCATAATAAATTTTGTTTTTCAACTCTCATATTATACTAGTGCAACAATAATTTTTTGTTATTCAACTCTCATATTTACCTTTGATTTCGTTTAACTTTATACTTACTTCTACATACATACATCCACGTGAACGTTCTTTCTTCTTTTGCGTATACTTTGGTTAGTTTTACTTAATACAGAGGCAGATTGAGTATGCCGGGATTTCAATTTTCAGTGCTGTTTGATTAACTCAAGTATTTGAGCACAATAACAGATTACTTACCATCCCACTTTACGAGTATAAGAAATCTAATGTCGAACCATGAATTCTGGTTACACAGTAAGCACCTGGTTATTTTGGTAATACAACGGTCTCGTCTGCACCAAGGAAAATGGAGCAAAATGAGTTAGATCATCCACGCAAATTATCCATATAGCAAAAATGGTAAGATCTACACCTTACAGTATTACATTGTGTATGTAAAAATTAGCATTAGTTTACAGAGGACGTGCCTATAGAACTCAGACAGAAATCACCAAAAGAAGACTTCTCTGTCAGGAGAAGAAAAAAACTCCCGTTAAAATTTCTTCAACATGCAATGGCGCATCAATCATGTGTATGTTATTTTTATTTTTATTTTTGTTAAGTTAAAGTCAAGTGCATTATTTTGACGATCAAAGCACCAATGAGCCTAAAATCTTAATTCATTTTCATCATCATCCTCCGCATCAGCTGTTTTTACCCCCAAATGTGGAGCAGTCAATCAAGAATATATCACCTAATCGAGTTCTAGACTCTTTTTCATGGATTCATAAACGAGATAAGTAATGCTTGCTGCTGGAACTACTTTTAGAAGATTTGGAAAAAGTCCTTTGTAGAAGCCTCTGAGACCTTCATGCTGAAGTGTTCTCCGGAACACATCAGACATTCCTTTGTAAGCAGCATCAGCATTTGTAGGTTGAGCTTGCATTCTAGCAAAAATTGAAGTTTGTGTGTGAAAAGAAAGGCAAATTGCATGATAACACATGAAGTACATTCAAATGCAAATATTTATGGTAGCAGCATCAGTTAGACATAGAGAGTTACCTCGTCCGAACGACCTGTAAAGGATAAACACAAGTTGCTCCAAGCGCTCCGGAAATTGTCCCACAACCCAGTTGCACAAGAGGGCCAGGTTCTGTATATCAAACACAATTGTTAGAAAAATTTGCATTTCATTTTGTCGGACAAAAGTTAGTAGCAGTTGAACAGTTAGAAGCTATACCGCTATCATGAAGAATATATATCTTGGACAAATCCTTCAATGTCTCATAGGCAGCCAAATCAATGCCTGCATAAGGTATAATTCCAAGAAGAGATGGTATCAGTCCTCTATAAAAGGCCCGAGATCCCTCCTTAACCCATATATCTTTTGATAGTTTTCCCAGGTTGGGAACCTTTCCACCTTCACATGAATGAGTTTGTAACCGAGTCTTAACGAGATCCATGGGATAGATAGCAGTCTGTGCTACTGCACCAGCCAAGCCCCCCGCCACAAGACGCCCAGAAGCTCCAATGTCACCCTGTTCCTCCCCCTTCGTACGAGCAATTACATTTTTCAACATTTCGTAAGTGTAAAACTTGATTGCACTTTCAGGTGCAACCTTCATCACATTTAATCCATTGCCCCTAAAAAAACTCAATAAACCACCCTCCTTCCATATGTTTTTGACAGCAGGACCAATAGAAGCACGGGTAGTCTGAACTTGTAAAACCACCTTAAGCCGATCAAGGGGAGCTGTAGCGGTACGAGAAGCAGCTCCTGCAACTCCCCCAGCAATCAAATACTTAGCTGCATGAACATGCTTACTGATGCCTTCTGGAATTACAGCCTGCTCACCAATATCTACAAGACATACCCTCTCCCAGTATCGGTATATATTCTCCATCGTGGCCTCATGTGGATAAAGTAGAAGAAAATTTCTCCATTCTTCAAAAGTGATAATCCCATTATTATCCTTATCGACATGTTCCACAAAACGTGCAAGTTCATCATCATCTATTTCTATCCCTGCAAAAAGGAAACTGCCCTAGCTTATAAGAGGAAGACAACTAATGAAATGAAATGAGGCTTGGGAACAATTATGACCCAGAAACATATATCCAGAAGAGATGAATATTTGTAATAGCAACATAATTCACGAATAAAGATGGAATTTTTGTTCAGTACATTCAGAAAGTATAATCCAATTAATCAACCCAGACCCATTTAGGCATCTTATTTAATGTAGATGAAACTAAAGGAGATATTTACCCGACAAACCATGTAGCAAAAGTGAAAAGGCAGACAAAGAGTACGGGTGTAGAGCATTTACATAATAGGTGAAACTTCACAATTAAGTAAAAACCTCTATACTATGAGTCAGAAAATTTCACAAGGCCAACTAGCACTGTAACAAGGAGTACAGATATTTTCTATCACTAAGAGAAGGCAAACATCAATTACTAGACAGAGCATCTTAAGAAGACACAACTGATTCCTTATCTGGAAAAAAAGAAACACACACACACACACAAAAAAAAAAAAAAACTGATCATAATAAAGAAAATTCTGAATCTGCTAGAAATCGGTAGAGTGCAGAGAATGCCATGAATAGAAGACTGTTTGAGAAGCTTCATTTTTCTTGGAACTGGCTGTTTGAGAAGCTTCACTGATAAGCACCTTAACCTGCTTCTTGTACAAGATCAGTCTCATTCTCCAAAATTAGCCCGGACATTCAGAAACAGCAAGCAAGGTATCCCACAAATAATACTTAGTTCTACCCTACATATATAAGGCTAAAGTATCCAGCTCAACGCTGGAACTAAGCCTAAACCTAATTTTGCTGGCCTCAGTTTCAATACTACAGCAAATTTAAATACCTAGAGACTTAAACCTCATCTAAACTCAATTCCTTCACCAGAGCACGGAAGAAAAATAACCGGTCGACAAAATTTGCCCCCTCCGGCACGTCCCAAACACCAGCAATCCCTTACAATTCATCACCACGTTTCCTCCAATTCTCCATCATTCCATGCTACCTTTTGCTTCCTGTCTTTCCCTCCTTGATTACATTAGCCATTGAGGCTTCAATGCCAACTCAAAAGACTGGGAAGGGAACTAGGAAAAGCAGATGTAGGAATGCAATAAAGGGAAAGGATGGTCCTCCTTTTGACTCCTTTTCTCTTTTAAACTCAGAAAGAGTTATAGGAGTACCAAATTCTACCATTAGTTCAGAATTCAGATGGTTCTATTAATAACTGAACTAGGACACCATTTGTATCTAACTTGAACAGAAAATATAGGACTGAAATCAGAGTTTAGCACTATGATAGGGAAGGAAACCTTCAGAACTCCAAGCAATACAACTCTTCAAAAAAGCACCTCGTCTACTCTCACTGCTATGGATCAGACAAAAATTACCTACTTGAAGTTCTAAAATAGTACAAAGTGTCAACCTACTTGATGTTCTAAAACAGTACAAAGCCTCGTACTTCTGATGTAGAGATTAAAAACACATGCAGGCAACACATGAATCATCCTATACATTTGTTTTCTCTTCAACAATATGAAAGGATCAGTACAGATCTTTACGCTGTTTAACCATGTCTAAATATAAGAATTAAAGAATAAACACATACAAAAAGACAATAAGAACTTAATGAAGCAAAAAAAAAAAAAAAAACTAAATGCAAGATAAAGATAAATAATAGCATCAGTCAATATTGCAAATTGTTAAAAGTCACCCCAGTGGTATAGACATAGTTTCCTTGCACAAACCAGTATAAGTAATTACACCAGTAAACAAGAGAGCAATATTAACATTTACGATTAATCTCAGAGAACGAAATTAAAGAGGGAAATGATAAGTACCAGCTTTAACAAGGGCATCCCAAAGCTCCTCAGGCAAGATGCAGCCATTATGCTCCACATCAATAGCCTGAAAAATCCTATACAGCTCCAGCTCCTTATCATCCATGTACTTTTTGAACTCCTGATAATCCACCCTCCCATCCTTATCTTTATCACACACCGTCAACAATTCTTTAGCAAACTTATAATCAGCTGGAATTTGCATAGCAAATAATCCTTTCTCGATTTTCGTGTAATCCAAGTAACCCGCATTGTCCGAATCGAAAAAACTGAATAGGCTTCTGATTCTAATGTCCCTCTCCTCTTTAGTCTCCCTTAGTGCTGATAAAACATGGTCCATTGAGACCGGGCCGGGCTTCTACACCGGGTTGCAGCAGCCAGGCCGGTCCTTAGTTGCCATTGCTGGGTTTCTCACCGCATGGAAATTTAAAAATAATTTCAGATCTAACAGAACAAACGCAACAGTGCTTTTGTGTAGTAATTCTGTAGAGGCGAATTAATTCCAAAAAAAAAAAGAGAATAATTGTGAAGGATCCGAGGAATAAACCCGGTTTAAGACGCGGGTTTTGTTGTTAACGGGTCAAAAAAGGAAGGGAAGAGTCAAAGTTTACCAAAGTTGAAGAAACTGATTAATTTATCGGGTACTGTACTACTGTTTAAACAATGCTTAAAGAAAACGTCAATGGCCGGTTTCGGACAGACATGGACAAAGAACCCAATTACCTAATTTCTTATTTCCAGTTAGGAGGGTCCAATGGGCGTCTGAATAAATTGTTAGGGGGCGGTGGGGGAGTCGGCGGAGCTGAAGCGGTAGCTACCGGTGATGTCTAATTCAGTGCGTGTGTGTGAGAAAAAATTCGGAAGGACTTTATGGAATAGTCAATTTATATTGATGGGAACATGATTCCGCACGTTCAACCCCCGCCCCCCCGGGGTAGGGGTGGGTATGCCGTATGAGCCTGGTGTCATGTTCACGCTTTCGTTTTCATACTCATGTTTCTTGCGCCTTTATTCCAAAAATTTAGAGCCAAAATTTAAAAAGAAAAAGGAAAACAGAATATAGCGCATTGCACTCATGAATTTTAACTAAAAATTTCATGTTTAAGCCTTGAAAGTTAAAAAGTTTTATGTGTAGGATGTTATATCTCTTTAATGATATCTTATGCAACGAAAATTCAAATAAATCAAATAAGTAAATTTCATATATTATGTGTCTAAAACAAAACAAAAAATATAACTAAACTGAGATGCCTTTTTGATTCACTAAGTAAATATTACAATTAGCCTCTAAGAAAGTCAAATGGTAAAATGTTATAACTCAAAATTTTTTAACTAAAATTATCATGAATATAATGAGATCTTTCTTTTCACTTATTACTCAGTACTTATGTAAATAAAAAGAAAAGTATAGACATTAAAATTTAAGGTGTGACGTATTTAGATAAATTAACAATAGCAAGTAAACTGGATTTTCATCCTTCAACTTAATTTAATATTTGTAATAATCAATTCTGGCCCGTTTTACACTACAAAAATAAAAAATTCGGAGTATATGGATACTCTATGGATCATTTGGTTTGAAGACAAATTATATATAGATTAGTAATGCAAAGATTAGCAATGCAGAGATTACTAATGCAAAGATTAATAATACGTGGATAAATAGTACATAAATTATTTTGTGTTGGGTGTTTGGTTCATTGCATTAAAACTACGCATACAAAGTATCATAAAAAATTATTTACTTACTTTTTAAAGTAAAAATAATATATTTACAATTATACCTCAGGATATTTGGTTTTCACAGGCTTCTTGTCAAAAAAAGAAGAAGAAGATAGTTTTGTCCTTTTGGTGTTTTATCCATGTATAGCTTATTATACATTGATTAGTTACTCAATGTTAGTGATAGAACAAGATAATACACCAATTATGAATTAGTTATTCTATATTTGAAATCACAATCAAACAATGTATTAACTTAATACAATTCTTACACCATGATTAATTATCTTATACACCATATATACCAAACGACCCTAAAGGTTGTATCTAATTTTTGGTAAGTTGAACTTTGTTGCTCCACCTCCATTCGGGAACAAATTGTACCAAACAATGACATATCCTAATTCAAGTGCTTCGAAGTTCGTACCATGCAGGTATGGGAAGTTGGCTGGGACCAATTCAATTGGGATCTTTACACAAAATAACCCGGTCGAATTCATTGTTAACTTTTTCTAGCCAGTATATTATACACATATTATGCATACGCCGGCTATTTTAAATTTAAGTGCTTGAATGAGCGGTTATTTAAGTTAATTCTTCAAAATGGGGATGTGGGAAAATGATCAGGAGGAGAAGTAGATTCCATCGGACTACGGCTGATCAATATTGAATACATACTCGACTTGCTCTCTTTTCTCCTTTTTGCCCTCGTAGAATTCCTTTTTATGTGTAGTATACTTGTATCCAAAACAGTACATATCTATAGGCTATAAAACTGAAACGTGACAAGAACATAATGCATAGTACTATTTATTAAATCCATTACAGAGGTCAAAAGCAAGCTTCCCTGCAACCTGTTAAAAACAACTATAAGTACAAACAAATTGCTCTTCATCAATATCTGCGGCTGTTACTTGTTACTGAGTTACCAGCGTTGCAAGATACCTCGGGCAAAAAAACCCAAAAATACAAAAAGCAGGTCACCCCTTCATCTCTAGGCAATCAATTGTGTGCATTTTAGTTAGCAAATGCAGATTAATAACATAAATTTCTGTGAAGCAATCTTCTCTCTTGAATCTGAACTCTTTCACATTCTTGTTCATAAAAGCAAAAGAAACTCCTCGCTAATTCTGGAATCAGTATACACTGACAGTTTAAAAGTTAATCTCACGCCTCTCTGCGAAAAACTTACCACTCACAAACTGATCAGGGAGCAAAGCAAGCCAGACTGCAGTATCAGCAGCTTCTTCAGGAGAAACATGCCCAGCCCAACCAGTCAGAGCAGTTTTCACCCAACCCGGACAATAGCAATTGATATATATCTTATGACCCTCTGGCCTTTCCTCGAGTATCCTTGCCATTAATCTGGTGTAAGCATTAACTGCTAGCTTTGACAATGAGTAATCTGTGAACACATGTGGCCATCCCTCTGATTCCCAAGTCCCATCTTTTACTTGTTCCAAAAATTTGTTCATAGTATTATCGATCACTTCCTCGGATAGCGTGTCCACGTCTTCCAGTTGTTGTCTCACACTGACATTTGAAATTCCCTGGTAACATCAAGCAAAAATAGATCATTCTCAGATATTGTTGGAAAAAATTGTTTTTTGGGGCCTAGTACACGCATAAGGGGTGCTAGCTAGCTAATTAGCCGGTCTATTAGGCTGTCTAACCCCAACCCTAAGTGCAGTCTATATAAACCGTTATGGGTGTTTGGAGGCCGACAAATACATACAACAAACGGGGCTAGGGTTAGTAGTTTTCTGTATCAAACAAGAGGGTGTGAAAATAGGGGATCAATCCACCATGTGAGGATTTCTGAGGACCGGTAATTTGAGTCGCGGTTGCTACGGATGATCCGCTTCTGCCAAGAGTAAACCCGCAAGTCTCCTATACTCCTTAACTATTACAGACGCTTATTCCAAGAACAAGAATGAAATAAACAAAGCTCTGATAACTTACATTTCGTTTGCTATTAAGTCTTCCCAATCGTGAGGTCACACTAACAATTCGGGCACCAGCTGGAGAAGGCCTCATTAACGGGATCAGAGCATTAATCATATTTTTGGTGCCAAAATAGTTGGTCTGGATAACAGTTTCAGCAAATTCCACAGAATTTTCTTTGCCATAATTGAAATTGACTCCTGCATTGTTGATCTACAAGTGCCATATCTCATTAGCTGGACATATTTCTCAATAATAATAAAAGACAAAGTGGCAATCAGAGTAGATTAATTAATACCAGTATGTCTAGGCCACCATATGTTTCTTTAATCCAATCACAAAAAACTTGGACTGATTCAAGATCCACAATATCCAATTGATGAAATGCAACATTTAGACCTCCTTCTTGCAATACTTTCACTGCTTCTTCCCCAACGGCAGTCTCTCGCGACGTAAGAACTACAGTTACGCCATGTGATGCAAGTTGATGAGCAATCTCAAATCCAATTCCTCTATTTGCACCCGTCACTACAGCAATAGTGTCAGATGACCACCATCTGAAAACCATGTAGCATGTAATTAGCGTTATGCTCAAATTAAAGAACCTAAGGGAGAATATTCTGATATGTTATACTGATAAAAAGAAGTCGCCACCAAATTTAACCATCGTGGAGAAATCTAGGGCGCGTTCTATGGATTCAATTGAAACCATTGTTTCTGATTCGAACTATGCATACATATGCAAAACAAGTTTTAAAATGTATTAATATAATAAAATCAAACACATTCTGAATTCACTAACTCTAAATCGTAGATTTGTCTCTGCTCGAGAAGCTAAGACAAAGATGCATGGTCTTACGCATGGTTTTCCTTCTCTTTATTACCGTATTTAATTGGAAACTCTATTTTGAATCTTTGATTATTGAAGGGTCGGCCTAGGCAACAGAGTAAATTAAGCTCTCCTAATAAAATGCAAAATGATCAATACATTCATGTGTGTGGCAAATTATGAATGTTGCCCTTTTGATTGGATGATGGATCTAGCCCAAAATGTAAAGAGAGAATGTAAAATAAAAACTGTAGAAATTGGAAAAATCAGACCTTTGATGATCAGAATAGGGAATAGTACGGAGAAGAGAGATCTCTTGGCGTCTTTGCTCCTTTCTTTCCTTTGCCTTTTCCTTTTTATCCATTATTATTATTACTATCGTCGGCGATTGTTCTTCAAATCATCTCCTGATTTGGCTTAGGTCCGAATAATTGTTAGATAGAATGGTAGGAGAGTTGATTGATGTAACAGAAACGCGTACTTCTTCCGATATATTTGGAGCAATCCTTGTACTCCGCCAGTGTTTGTTTGAACAACCTTCAATTAAAAACTTCACCCATATAAACCTGAATAAATAAAACAAAGGAAAAATAATTAAACAAGGGTTCCTAGTATCTTACCAATTTCCATGGGAATTTTTTTTATAACTGGAGGTCCATTTTAATGTTCTTTTTCCTCATGTATTGATATACTTTTTGAAAAAAATTGAATCCACAATAATATAACTAATTTAAAAATAAAAAAAGAACTCATAATTTAAGTTTATAGTTGAATTCACATACTATTAGACACTAAATTGGAACACAATAAAATTAAGTTTAAAACATAAAATTGAGAATTTTAAAGACAAAAAAAATTGTCCTAAACTAAACTTCACTTATAATTTGAATTCTTAATTTAAAACTATAACATGTCACTGTAAATCAGCTTAGGGTTTGTTTGGAAAGCCACCCGATAATTGAAATTAGTATAATTACTAGAGTAGTAATTACACAACCTAGTAATTACACAATATAGTAATGCATCGATTGATTTGTTTGTCATGACTTAATTACAGTGTAATTACAAGCGAACTATTTGGTTGCACAAGTATAATTATACAGTTAGATTAAATTTTAAATGAAATAATTATCAAAATTTAAAAGTTAATCTAATAAATATATCACTATAATTTTTTTTAAGTATAAATAATATTAGATTTGGTATTTAAGATACATATTTTGTCTTGAATATACATTAAATGGTAATCATATATTTATAACTAATATTATAAAAATAATTGATATATATATTTCAAATTAATAATATTTAGTTTAATTAATTATAAAAACTAAAAATATACGTTTTGTAAGAACATCATGGAATGGAATGCATGTTTGACAAAAAAAATTAATATTTATAAATATAATGTCATAACATTTTTCAAATGTTTGACAAAACTAATCTATCAATTCTAACTAAAAAATGAACAACATGCAATGTGAAATGACAAAGCCAATACTACTAAAACAAGTAAATTGGAACCATAAATAAATAAAATTTCAAAATCCAAAAAAAAAATAGTTTAACATATGTCAAACTCCAATATAATAAAAATAAGTTCTAATACAACTTAAGATTAGAAAATATAATAAGTATATAACCTCATTCAACAACGAAATTCTACTTTAATGACATCACTCGTTCTATACCAAGGTTGCTAGTGACTCATTATTTCTAATATTAGGAGATGTAGCTTCAAAAACTAGAATAATAATTCAGTTATGCTAAATGGAGAAAATAAAACGAATAAGAAATAAAATATACGATCAATTACATGGAATCACACGTAAAGGTAGAGAAAAAAAATGTACAAAGAAAAATATATTTTAAAATTAAAAAAGAAATTAAAAATTAAAAATTAAATAAACAAATTAAAATAAAAAGAAATTGAAATAAAAAGTTAGTATAAAAAGTAAATTAAAATAAAAACAAAAAGGAAAGAAATTAAAAATTAATCTTGTAATTTCACAGTGTAATTACCACCAATTCTTACCTCCCCTTAAAAATTGGAGAGTAATTATACTTCTCCAATTATACCATATTGATTAAGTAATTACTTGGCATGACAAATATGCCAAACTGGGTAATTATACTCAATTACACCCAAATCAATTTCTAGGGGGCTTTCCAAACATACTCTAAGTTAAAATTTGATTAAATATTTAATTATTTCTCACGAAGAAGGACGCAATTATAAATTTTATCACAGTAATTATCATTACGATAAAAGTAATTTTTTATATGCAATTATCTTATTTAGTTAGTTACAAAATATTCTATTTAGTACTAGAGTTTAAGGGAAGCACTGATCAAACTTGAATTATGCCTAGTCAAATCGACTCAACGGACCGAGCCGGACCTTAAATAGCGATTACCGAATAAAGCGTCCAGCCCAAGTTGAGTGTTCCCAAGCGGGTTCCAAGTGGACGTCAAAAGGCCACGCACCGCATTAGGCAGACCGCCTTCCAACTTAAATTCCAAACCGAATAACATCTTCTCCTCAACAAAAGTCTGATTTGAGTTTTGATCCTCAAAATAACATAGTTGTGGGACTAAAACTCTAAAAGAATGGCGAATTTAAGAAGGGCACTCCTCTTCACCATTCCTCGGATCCTCAATTCCTCTAACGGGACATCTGTTGCAACCTCCACGCTCCCCTCTCATAATCTTTACAGGTTTCAAAAATCCAACATTCTTACTCTCTTTACCTGTTATCTGTAAAAAAAAATTAATTATATTTGCTTGTTTAGGCCTTTGACTGGAACATTTTCGCGTTTCATTACTTCCAACGAGGCTTCGTCGCCAAATAATATTGATCTCTCCAACGAAGAGAGCAAAAGACGTTTATTTAACAGGTGACTTTAAGCTTTTACTATTTAATATGATGGGTTATAAGTTCCTCCAGCGGGTTCATGATATGTTGTTGGTGGTTTTATTTTGTATGGATATAGGCTTATTTATCGTAGTAAACAAAGAGGGTATTTGGAGCTGGACCTTGTTCTGGGCAAATGGGTGGAGGAACATATACAATCCATGGACGAAAATGGAATTAAGTCCCTTGTTCATGTCCTTGACCTGGTAATTTTCTTTGTTTTTCATTATAATTCTTTTTTCTTATTTCCTTTGGACTTCTCCTTTTTGTATGCCGATAATTAGAGATCATGCTTTTGCTGCTCTAGCTCGTAATAGGATCTTGTTATGTTGTTTTTTCTTTTTCTTTTGGGGTTTTAGTATGTTTCAAGTATCCAAGGTGAATGATCTAGTGAAAATGAAAAAACAGATACACAAATTTGCTTAAGTCGTGTCCTAAAAAACTATTCCAGTAGTGTGAAAGTTTTTCAAGAGTGAATAAGCCTACCTCTTATTATTAGAGGGAGCAGGAACGACAAAATTAATTAATAAACCTACAAGTTTGGAACAATAAAGAGAAAAATAGGAATCTTGTAGAGGACAAGTGTCTTTACATCTAAATGTGGACTTTGAATAAGTGGCAAACAAGGTTAGCCACGCTGCTAACAAGCACAAGAATGGAGGCGATCATGGCTATAAATAGCCATCATTACTTCATCAATAGACATCAAGAAAATTAGCCTTCACTGTCCTAAGAATCTTTTTCAGCAGTGTGAATGTTTCGCAAGTTTGAACAAGCCTTTCTCTTGTTAGAGGGAATAGGAATAGCAAAATTTGAATAATAAACTAGCAAGTTAGGAACAATAAAGGAAACAATTAGGAATCTATAGAAAAGGGAACAATGATGGAAATTGGACGACAGAATTATAGTAGCTTAGGCTTGTAATGACAACTTATGATCAAGGCTAATTTTCTTGGTATCCAGTGCTGAGGTAATGATGGCTATTTATAGCCATGATTGTGTGCGTGCATTCTTGTTCTTGTCATCAACATGGCGCCTTGTTCGTCACTTCTTCAAAGGCTTTTGCCACTTCTTTAAATCTATAAATGAATGAGCACATTTAGATGCAAAGACACTTACACATGCTAAGACATTTGTAAAATTTCCTTTGTACATGAATGACAATTCTACTAAATCTTTTGAAATACAATATTATTTTGCCAACAATTCCTAGCCCATTACATTTATATGACATCTGCCAATGAACATTTACCCCCAAGTTCCACTAAGATGATAGGATTGTCAGCTTAATACCAACAAAAAGAGAAAAAGGCATGAAAAGTCACCCCCTAGATCCTCAATAGCATCAATTTGCCATTGCTCAATTTGAACTCAAAGAATAAACCACATGTTAACCGAGACTTATTGCCTAGTGGTACTAGTGGAAGTTTACCCTCAATAAGTGTGGGTTCAATTGCAATTGTACCCCTTTCCCTTTTCCAGCCCCCCGTATGTAATATTTATTAACAAAATCCCATGTTGACCCCCAACAACTTGTTAACACAAATCTCAACTTCTGCCTCGAACTTTTTTTTTTTCCGTCTCTTCTTTTATGGTTTCATATTATATGGGGAAAATAGGATGATTGATAAGCATAGTGAGGTCTATGATTATCTTAGCATTTGTTACAGAAAGGTCTTCGCGGAAACTTACAACATGCAAGATAATTTCATGAAAGCACTGAGAGACAACTGACTAGTGATTCAATTCATAAGCAAATCACTGAGGAATCTGCAACAATCTAGTAGAGGATACTGGTAATATCTAATACCAGCTGCAGCTGCTCTATGCTGGCATTGGTGGTTACAATTGTCCAGGTCTCAGGGTCATGATTTTTACTGTGCTTGAGGGATATACACTGACTAGCATATCTGTAGTTCCCATCTTTTCTTTGACTAGCTGTTATATTATAGGCGATTTTCCAGGTTGTGCATCTACTTTTGTTCCTATGGGTACCTACTTCTCCCTTTTCATTTTTCTTTTGAGTGGGTTTTGGGGGGG